ACAAAGCTGCCTTTGGACATCACCCGTTCAAAGGCGAGAACGCAGACAATACCAGAAGCCCCTGTAACACCGTCCGCGCCCATCATGGACGATGCACCTCAGACGGAGAAGCAACCGCACGAGGTCCCTCCTCCGCCTGATGTACGCCCAATCGACGACGAACATAACACTTCCAACAACTCGAATATTGTTCCCATCGCAGATCATGCAACATCCGAGGTTCCTGTCATTCATGGACCCTCATTCCCTGATATGATCCGTATGATGTATCAGCAAATGTGGCAGCCGGATAACACCGAGTCTCCGCCGGATTATCGTAGTCAATCATGATGCATGGTTGGGATCCCACTGCTTCTTTCTGAATCATTCCCGATACCTTCATTTCTTCCTTCCATTCAATTCTTCTTGTCCATGTATGTCACCCGAGCTGTATCTAACTCTGGTCAACTCAAAGTGATACTTCGTATCAGGATCGGACAGCTGCGAAAGATCTGGGCTGATCTTGAAGGGTTCGGAACGCTCTCGAGTAAGGGAAAGCATCTGTTGGGAAATCAGAGATACCTTTTCGTGAAAGAAGAATACCTCAAAGACTCGGAGTACGTTTGAGAGGGTAGAGAGTACAGGAAGTAATATACATCTTTACTTAAATACTACAATTCGAGTCACAGAGAGTAAGAATCCAAGTATTCTAGTACACGAAAGGATGCCACAATCCATCACAACGCCTGAGGTGGAAAGCAAAAAACGAAGGGGTGTCCGAGGTCCGTGCCACTGGCACGTGTTGTGCACGGACCATCCTCATAATCCTGAATGCGTGTATTCCTTTGTTGTTCTGCTTTCACTGATTCTCGTCTTTCCGGAAAGGCAAAGCATACACCAAGTACCCCTGCACAAGGGCACCACGAAAGCTATTCGCTGGGGAGAACAGATCTGGATTAAGGCTTTTTTCGCGGAATGGTGCGCTATCACATTGATTTCTCGACCCATGAATGTGATTGAAAGATCCTTTTTGCTCAGCACGATCAGTGATACCCAGAAACTCAACGCCGACTCAATGTCCCTTCAACCCTAGAAAGTCGCTTCGCCACCCTGAATCTCTCTGTTCCTACCGGAGCTTGAGAAATGTTGCTATGCTTGGATCTCGTATGAATCATGGTTTGGAGGGTGTATCCCATGATCCCATGTAGGAAGAGACAGGTGAACTTGAACCTCCTCCATCTTGTCTTCCAGCGATACAGGCTAATTCACCCTAGTTCTTACTTGGTCGATCCGTACACCTACTCTTCCACTTCTCTCATTCAATATCGACGTCTATTTACCGTGAAAGCTACATTCACAAGCGCCGCGCTTAACTGTTTCATAACACGAAACCCAGCACAGATAGTTTATAGTAGACTTGGAGGCAGCTTGGATCATTAACGCTATGTCACTGTTTTACAGACACATTTTTCCGTAACCTATTGCTGTAGAACGGCCGCTTCTTCGTTGGTACTTCACAATTAGTCTCCCCCGGGCCTAGTCAGAATCTCAACCGCTCGCAAGACTTCAGTCTTCACAATCTCCTCCCTGCGCTCATTATTTACACCCGGATATATATGCTTTGATACACCAATAGAATAATTTCGCAACCAATTTTCTACCATTAGCCGGACGAGCCCTCGAGTGGTCTGCTTGTCTACTTATATGCTGCGTGTTGCGGATGTGAAATTCTACCGGCATCATCCGAGCACTTGACCGCTGCGCCAATAGTGTACGATAGGTGGTTAAGCTCCCCAGATTGCCCTTGAATGTCTATTCGCTCTCAAACTCTTTCTGCTAACCCCGTGTGACTCTGAGCCTCTCTGAAAGAACAATCCCGTTTCGAGCTTTGCTTTGACATAGAGGTGTGACGCTAGTCATCACACTAGGTTGAACCTTTGCCGAACCTGTACAGGTAAGGCATAAAACCTCGAAATGCCTTCCGACAAATCGTGACACCAAACCCCGAACCGGGCAGCTGCGTCGCAGAAACTGGATCAGACGAAATATCCACCGGCCAGAACTCCGAAGGGCTTTAGGACTTCTTGCTAATGTGCAAGGCATACCTCACTGTCAATCCGAAAGTCTACACCACAAACCAGGAAAAGATCACATTCATCCTATACTTCTGCCGAGGAACAGCAAAGGACTATATATGCCTTTAGAGAACGGGTAGCCTACACCCTCGGGAGTTACCCCCAGTGTACAGCGTTTCGAGAACGGTTCCTGAAGGACTTCTATCTCCCATACTTTGCACTCATCAAACATGGTTCGTGTGTTATCGTATCATCGCGCTACTTCCTTCATTTGTGTCACCATTTGTCTTCCGGTAACGAGCCCCAAACAAAGCACGAACGATCATTCACACCATACGAGCAAGTCGAAGTACGTTTACTCTATTCCTTTAGTTAGGTCGGGCGGCAGGCATTGATCAATACTCCGTCCGGTTACTCTACAAGATCCACCACGAGTGATCGTTCTCAAGCATGAAACCGTGAGGGTAGAGAGGAAAGGATACCGAAAAAAATTAGCGTGCATTCTCCTTTGGCTGTTGTTTCCGATCTATATTCGGTCCTTTATAACCTCAACTTTTTCTTCCAGCTTGTATCTTTAACACGGTCACGCCTACCCGAAACATGGTGTTTTTGTTTTCACCTTGGAGAGTGGGTAAATTCTTGTAGGGTGAGCTTGACCGATATCTTTTCTTTTCGTTGCTTACCAGTTAAGGATCGATTATAGGTCTATCTTTTTGTAAATTCGACTACGCGCTATAACCATCGTGTGACTGCTTTCGGTCGAGGCTCAAAAACGCAAGACTAGAATCGGGAATCCAATATCTTAATTCACAATCGAGAAGGGATACAAGTTATATGACAAGGTCAGTCCGGGCTTCAGATAGATTCTGCAGAGCGTGGAGCCGATATCAGGATGGTGTATGGGTAGTAGTATGCTGGCCAAGAGTACTTCGCTGATCTGGGTGTTTAGGGACTATGCCACGACGCTCGGAATGAAAAGTCAACATGACAGTGTGGATATGTAAAAACACCTATTCTGCAGTTTATGGTTCGATCCAGACTCGAACTGGAGACCTTCTGTGCACAAATTTGCAACAGCAATGTGAGACAGATGTGATGACCGACTACACCATCGAACCGTTGGCTGCATTGGAACCTCGCCAATTCATAAATTGTTAGCGTGAACAAGGAATATCAAAAATGTGAATTCAACCACCTACTTCCGTGAATACCCATGACATTTGCCTACTTGTAGCATCGTGGAAGAATGAAACGTGTGAGAGAAGCGAAGAAAAGAAGGGCGACACGTGTTTACGACATCGATGGGACCTCGGACACTCTGGTTTGCCTCGTTTCTTTCTTTCGCCTCTCATGTCCCCACAATCGCTCCTTCTTCTTCAATGTATGTCGTCCCTCCATTCGCATTACAGATTGCGCTAATTCGTATCCTTTTAGGCCTAACGACCAGGATTGGGGGTCAGATTGGATGATATTGGCGGAAGGTACGTCCTCCGACGTTTTCGTCACGATCTAGCGTTCATTTGCACTTTTCTTGAGCCCATAATCTCTGTTTCCTCCGGACCGCAACGTTAAGCATACCCTCAAAACCATGAACTAAAGACCAAGAACCCAAACCTCCATCATTTGGGCTCCATCTCGCTTCCTTTGCACCCATCGTACATGGTACGTGTATCACGCGCAACCTCCTTTATTTGGTTCATCGTTCTCCTTCCAGGAACGAGGCCCTAATCCGACCCCGAACGATTGCTCTATTCCTCCAGCTACGCCGGGCGCTGATGGTTATCCGGCTTGTTACAAGATCCGCCTTTTCCACCGTCAAAAGAACTCCCGCCGCCTCAGCTCTGAGCAAAGCATGAAACCGCTCCCCGGGTGGAAAGGAGAGTATACAGGGCATAATCAACGTGCGTTCCCATCCCACTGTGATCTTTCTCCATCTGACCCATGTCCGTTTCTTCACAGGCTCCACTACACTTTCGGCCCCCGTTCTTTTCTCTCAGTTCTCGGCGCATATCTTCAACACGGTCATCCTCCTCCCGAAGCACAACTCTGAAAGGAAGCACGTTGTTTTGATTGGAAGGTATCCATGGACGATTGAGGTGTGCGAGTACAATCTCTCCGTTTACACCAAGCGCTGATTGTTCTCTCCCCGGGTTACAGGCTCCACCTCATCTAATACCAGAAGAATACTCACCAACTCGACTCTGAATGATGCACCCCAAGTCGGACGGCTATAGGGTGCGGCTTCTCGCTCTGCTCCTTCTCCATACACTGACCCTTAACCCTTCTCCTCCAGGCCCCTTTATCGCTTTGCGCCGTTAATCCCATTAGATATCCACACCCATCCTCCTCCCGAGACACGATGCTAAGGGCAGAAGATTCGTTCCGACCACCGTCCATTCGATACACGTACCCCGTCCTCCCCTACCGGCGTACGTTCCTTCCCCTCCTTCCGACAAATTCCCTGTGTCCAGGGACCATTTCCGCACTGTTCCTTCCTCCAAATCCAACCGTGAAGGGGTAGAGGGTATGCTCTGATGACGTGATCGTTCTCCACACGCCCCATTGGCTCAACACGGCGTTATATCCTGGTCATTTATATCTTCGGGGAGTATAAAGGGGGGTGTATGGCCTTTACCCCCAAAGATTGTAGAGTTCGTTCAGCCTCCCGTGTGTTCTTTTGATTGCTTGATCTCGCGAGGGTATGCTGACGTCTCGAGCCTAGATATTAGCTTCATCTTGATATCACGCAGGATCCCGACAACATTTGCCGACCGATTACTTGTCCGAAGGGTAGTCGTCAATCATGTACCTGTTACCACAGCGATCACAATCCAGATGGGGGGTAGAGATCTAGGATACGTACCACTCATGTATCAGAGTAGAATGAATAAAACAACTTTTCGCATCTGAGGCCACACCAAAAAAAGCAGTTCGATTCTCATCAACAGTGCCCGGCGTGGTTCGAACACGCGGCTTCGAGATTGGACATCTCTGGATCGACAAGATTGCAATCTCACACTCTACCACTGAGTTACGGGCACATTGCAAGGCGGGGTGTATATTGCCAATAAGACTTTACTCTGTTCCTGAGCAAAACAGACCGCGAGGGTCGAACTCGCAGCCTTCAGATTCGTATACAACTATTATGCTTTCAAGGTAAGAGTCTGACGCTCTATCTGATGGAGCTAGGCGGGCTCTCCTCGGCCGGTTAACTTGGACGAATATGTATCTGTAATTTCACAGTCGATAAGAAAAACGCACTGAGAGTTGTGCATTCCCCCTAGCCGATTTGAACGACTGACCTCTTCATCAACAAGATTTCTCCGGCATACGAGTGAAGCGCTCTACCGCTGAGCTAAGGGGGATGATGACTGCGCCAGATTAGGATCCAACAAGTGGGGGTTTGCTTCGCCGATACAGCAGACCTGGCGAGAAGGGATACGAATTATATGGGAAGGGTCAGTCGGGATGTTATAGGTGGACGGTATAATGGTGTACAGGTACCAGGTCAGCCAATAACACGCGTACTTTGCTGATCTGCGATATCGATAGCACCACGCGGGGAGGGAAAAGTCAACGAGAGGCATGGAAATGTAAAAAGTCGCACTCATCATACGATTATGGTTCGATCCAGACTCGAACTGGAGACCTTCTGTGCTCAACATCTGGCATGGCAACTGTGAGATAGATGTGATAACCGACTACACCATCGAACCGGTGGGTACCTGGGTTCAATCCTTGGCACAGGATTCCACTGATGCGGACGTACTGTGACTAAGAAATGCCGGTATCATTCAAGGATCCTGACCTACTAAAGGTTGAAGGAGCTCGAAGTCACTAAGGAGGACTAGACATTTTGGCAATCGTCTTAGTCAAAGGAGACGATATTCAGATGAAATGAAGGTTGTCAGGTGCGAAAGCTGCGAAGAATAGTCTTCATATGCTTGTAGTTCTGTGCCACGTTTTAAAAGGGCATGGGAAATGGATCAGCATAAATAACACCAAGCTTTGGACCGTTCGATCTGGGTCTGCATGATAACACAGGAAGACGATGGATGTAAATGGGAGTAGAGGTTCAAGTTGTCGAGACTTGTTTACTCCTCAAGAAGGACAGTTTTTCCACTCCTCAAAGCTGAGTGGAGGAGCATTATGCGAGCAAAGAACTTACCTTGCTGCGTCCTTCGGGTCCCTAGAGTAGTTCTCAAGCTGCTTCCCGGCAACCATGAGAGTCCCAGATTCCTTGTTATGAACAGAGTGGTGTATTGACAGATATTCTAGCGGTGAATCAGGCTGATCAAGAACGGGATCATGATAGCGGATGGCGACCAAGCGGTGCGCATCGCCGACTTCCTCCCACATATGAGGATGCGATGTAATTTTCGATCAATGACGTTGAGGGGAGAGGCCAGAGTAATGGTGTGTAGAACGGGGCAGGACTGTTGGCTTCTTGGCTAGGATTATACCTCTATTTATCGCGGTGATGTATACCATTGGTAATAGTCTGGCAAGTTTGTTGATAAATGCAAGTACCGTCGATATTTTGGACGTCTTAGATATGGCTTGGAAGGTAACGGTTCATAGTATCACCCTAAACGTTCAGTCTACGAGCTGAGTTTCGAATTCGCTGACACGAAAATGTGTTGAATATTCGAAAAGTGTTCCAGCTATGATCAGGATAGTGAATGAAGACAAGTTCTCGTATCTCCGAATCGAAGATTGTATTGATAGAGTGAGTGGCCATCAGCACCGGACCGGCGCGCTCTCACACCATTTAGGCGATCTTTAGACCAAAAGATCCGTTGAAAAGCCGCCCAGCTGACTTCACCTCCAGAAACTCGCAAGAGACTCGTGTCAGTCTCCGCGCCCAGGAATAAAGTGAGTTCAGCCATCTACTTCCGTGAATAATTTTGACACTGCCTGCTGGTAGCATCTTCAAGGAATGAAACGTGCAGGAGAAGCGAAGAGAAGAACTGTGACACGTGTTTACGACATCAGTGGGACCTCGGACACTCCGGTTCACCTCGTTTCTTTCTTTCGCCTCTCATGTCCCCGCAATCGCTGCATCTACTTCAACGCAATTGTCGTTCTCCATTGATCATGTTACAGCTTGCGCTAATTTCTCTTTTGTTAGTCGTAAGAGCCAGCATTGTGGTGTAGATTGGATGAGATTGGCGGAGGGTACGTTCTTCGATGTTTTCGTCACGATCTTACGTTCATCTGTCCTTTTCTTGAGCCCAGAATCTCTCTTTCCTCCCGACCTCGACGGTCAGCATACCCCAAAACCATGAAATCAAGACCACAAACCCATACCCTCAGCGTGTTCAGCTCTATCTCGCTTCCTGTTCGTGTATCACGCGCAACTTCCTTCATTTGGTTCATCCCCTTCCAGGAACAATCCCTTACCGACTCACAAGCGATTGCTTTATTCCTTCAGCTACGACGGGCGCTGATTTTTATCCGGCTTGATTACAAGATCCAGAAGAACTCCCGCCGCTTCAGCTCTGAGCAAAGCATGAAACCGTTTCCCGGGTAGAAAGGAAAGGATACAGGGCATATTCAACGTGCGTTACCATCCCACTGTAATCTTGCTTTATCTGAACCATGTCCGTTCCTTTACAGTCTCAACTACTCTTTCGCGCACCCGTTCTTTTCTCTCGATTCCCAACGCCTATATCAAGCACAGTCACCAATTCCTGAAGCATAGCGCCTATCCGATACCCAACCACGTTGCTTTCAACTTGGACCTATCAACAACCAATTACCAACACCCAAACGTTCACGTTTAGAGGAACGTTCTAGGATGCATTTCGATTTATCCGTGTACGCCAGGCTCTGATCCTTATCCCCGGGTTGCCAGCTCCCACTCGACTCTGAACGATACTGTGTCAAGTTGGACGGATACAGGGTACGACTTCCTCGGTTTGCTCTTTCTCTATATTCTGAGTGTAACTCTTCTCTTCCAGGCCCCGTTATTGCTTTGTATCGATCCTCTCGATACACAACGTTTTTAGCAGAAGATTCGCTCCGACCACCCCTTCCTTCCATTCGGCACTCATCCACCCCTCCCCAATCGCCTTTCCATACTCAGAGGGGCATACGTTCGCCTCTTTCCTACACTCCCTTGCGTGTCGTTTCAGTCCTGGGTCCACTTCCGCACCTCCCCGTCCTCCGAATCCAATTCTAAGGGGGTACTAGGTGGGCTTTCAAAATTTCACAACGTAGTCGTTCTCCACACGCTAACCTACCCCTTTTCTCTTCAGAGAGGTACAACACGGCGTTATATGCTCACCCGCGATGTTCTTTATGGCTAACGAGTTAAATGGATTATGTGAGAGAGTGAGTTAAAGGAAGATCAGGCGTGGCGTTTGTTGCTGATCAATTTCCTGTCAAACGTTTCATATAGCTAATGCCGTTCCCGTTACAGGGAAAGATTGTAGGGCTCGTTCAGCCTCCCGTGCGTTCTTTTGATTGCTTGATCTCGCGGGGGTGCTGATGTCTCGAGCTTTAGCCAACATCATATCAGGAAGAGAACTCGACGACGCCTTTCCGAGTACATCTTCCCTAGTCGTCTGAAGAGTCATCACTCCTTACAGCCACAGCGGTCACAATCCAGATGGGGGTAGAGGTCTAGCATACGTATCCCCCATGTGTAGAGTAGAATCAATGAAATGAGTTTTCGCATTTGAGGCAACACCAAAAAAAGTTAACCTCATATATGGCAGCAGTACCCGGCGTGGTTCGAACACGCGGCTTCAAGATGGCACTCTGGGATTGCAATCTCACATGAGTTACGTTGACAGGCGTGGTGTATATTGCAACTAAGACTTTACGCTGTTCCTGAGCAAAACTTGTACTCTTGTGCATTTGAACAGCCCACAACTCGCAGCCTTCAGATTCGTATAGAACTATTCATTCAGGATAAGAGTCTGACGCTCTATTCGACTGAGCTAGGCGGGCTCTGGGGCTTATCTGGTTTGCGTCAAGCAATATGTATCTTCACAGTCGATAAGAAAAACTGACTGAGGATTGGGCATTCCCCCTAGCCGATTTGAACGACTGACCTCTTCATCAACAAGATTTGTTCAGAATACGAGTGAAGCGCTCTACCGCTGAGCTAAGGGGGATGATGACTGTGAGAGATTGAAACTTGACAGGTGGGGGATTACTTGGCTGATGCGGCAGCGAGAAGGGATAAGGATTAGATGGCAAGGTCTGTCGGGATGGTCTGTTGTTCCGCATAGGTGAACGGTATGATGGTGTACAGGTACTTCAACCAAGAACGCTGGTACTTTGCTGACATACGATATCGATAACAGCACGCGCGGAGGGAAAATTCAATGTGAGGGTATGGAAACGTAAAAGAATCGTACTCATCAAACAGTGATGGTTCGATCCAGACTCGAACTGTAGACCTTCGGTGCTCTACATCTGGCATAGCGACTATGTGAGACAGATGTGATAACCGACTACACCATCGAACCAACGGTTGTGTGGTTTAGAACATGTATGTACGTGCGTCTGGTACAGGATTCCCGTTGATCTGTACGTACTGTGATTGTAGGGGGAGCTAAAATCATTCAAGGATTCCGACCTACTGGACAGCATATGGAAGAGTATCTACCTTTCTTGTGTCAGGAAGGTAGCACAAAGAGACTCGGAGATCAGAAAACGGATACTTGCGATGGTCAAAAATTGTGTGCGGGCTGCCTAATGGTTCGATCCAGACTTGAACTGGAGACCTTCTGTGCAACGGAAGATATATTGGCCTTATATGTTAGACAGATGTGATAACCAACTACACCATCGAACCTTCGTCCCATTTTCCCGCTTGTTTTACTGGAGCTAAGAGTTTTGATGACCTATCATGGATAAGTCTTTCGTTTGCACCTTCGTTGGGTGTGAACTTGGTGATGGGGATATAGCGGAGAAGATCATCGGAGCCGGCGGGATTTCGGTTGTTGTAATTACGGCACAAACTGCCGATGCCCTTTCACTTGAACCGCCATCATGTCTTGTCTTCCTCGTTAGGCTTTGTTCCTGGGTGATTGAATGCTATATGCTCTGTGCGTCCCGGGAAGGGGGCTATCTCAATGGGGTTGGTTGTCTAACCGTTCTCACTACTCATAACGCACAAGTCACAAAACAACCGAACGAGATCATTAGTGATTTCGTGTCCTCTTTTGCGCTGATCTCAACCAAGCATATAGAAGGTAAGTTCTCCAGAGCTTGTCTGTAGAATGAAGGATTTCACGCAACACCAAATGATTTGTGCGGACTCGTATCTTCCAGCAGTTCCATTCACTTTGCTACATCCGCAACATTCTTGACAGCCGAATGGTAGATTGTAACGTGTCATTTGGTCCGTCAAGACACGTCGCCGGACTTACTAAAGCGGCGCGTTATGTACTCTTTGACAGTATATTTGGAAAACCGCTTCACCCATGGGGTAATTCGACCCTGCACCCCGCCATCCTTATAACTGGCATACGTTTTGGTGCCTTTCAAACTTGGAGATCCCTTGCGAAGACGGTATATTGGTGCGTGGACTTTTTCCTACTCCCAAGATGCTCTGACTGAAACTGTGACAGGAGATGTCTAGCCTCGAGAGAGCAATTCCATTCGAGATCTGGGATAGAGTCTTCCTGTTCAGCTGGAGACCTGACCTACACAGCTGCTGCTCCGTATCCAACACCTTCAACTCAATCGCTACACCACGACTATATCGTTCTCTATACTTCTGTTCACTACCCAAAGCCATCAAATGCCTAAACACGCTTCAGGTCAACGATCTCGCTGCAAGGAGCGTATCGTCGCTTCAACTACACCACCCGTACGTTTCGCTCCAATTCATTCATTCTTGCCCTCTGACGGTGATATGATATATCCTGCCAGGATCGGAACACATCTCAATCGCATAGGTAGACTTGGCCTCGGTTCCAAAGACACCGCGTTACGTGCATATTTCGCGTTGCTGGCACGGGCTCTTCCTCGGCTACAAAACCTCACCGAACTTACGTTGTCCCCAATTGGGATGTGTCGTGTCGACGATGAATGCGCGCGTCTGCTCGCAGAATCGTTTGGGAAGGTTTTATCTCTATGCACGTTTCCGAATCTCGAAACATTGGTTTTTCGTGTTCCTATGGACGTGAATGGGTTGGAGTTCCTTAGGAATCACCAACGACACCTTACTGTTCTGGATCTCCGACCAAGTCGGCTGGTTGCGTCTCTCTCGGATGTGGAACTTACATTTCCACGCCTTACACGACTCGAACTTCCGGCGGTACTGGTTACGAGCTTCCTGGCGGGATGTCATGTGCCGAAGATATCGCAGATAGGCGTGGAATGGGGTCAGTGGTACACTGAGCGTATCATTAGTCTCACCGATATCGGAAATGCGGTTGGAAATGCCTGCGGATCTTATGATTCCCCGCTTTACCTGCGAACAGATCTTACAAACACGAGGGTTTGCGACGTTCATGTACTGGAGGCGCTTTCGGTGCATTTAAGTGAACTAGAAGGACTTGAGATCGTTAGTGAGGCGAGCAATTGGCTTATCGAACCACTTGAAAGTGTGAGTATTCGTTCTCTAGTCGTGCTCATCGACTGAGAATACGTGTAGGTTCTCCCGGAACTAACGTCCCTGCTCGCAAACTTTCCGCGAATTCAAACGTTCAAGTCGTACGTAAGGAGCGGCCCACAGTGGCGGAATATGAGAATGGGCCCATATACCCCGGAGCAGGAGTATGAAGCAGTATGTGCGTTGGGAAGAATGGTTCCATTTTTAAAGGAGTGTCAGCTCCCGTGTACGTTTTTGTCTATTTTACCCTGGCTCTCGCTCATCACTGAGAATAGTCGGCGTGTTGTGGAATCTTGACAACGGTCTTTGGGTTCCCAGGCGAGCTTCTGACTTTGCGTTGCAATTCGACACCTTACTCCTTGATTGGGTAAACAATCGAGCGAAGCGGGGTGTCTATCCGCAAGCCATACCACTTTAGAGTCTGTATAGTATTCCGGGCAATTCGTCAAGGGCATCGTAGCATACAAGCGGTCATAATTATGGGTTCTGGAGACATACACGCGGCTTCAAGGTTTGTACATCAACCTGAAGCGTTGTCACTGCATACAACTATCTTATAAGTTCCGCAAAGCACCACGTACAGATTATGAATATCACTTCTCCCTTCGCTCCAGCACCAATGGAACCTGCATGCCCTCGTCCCATTTCCCCGCTACCATTGGCACATTCATTCCACTTCGAACCCCTTGGATCTCTATGCCTTCCGGTGGAAGAATCAGCTTCAATCGCTCAAGGATTCCGATAACGATTGTCTGTGCCTCAGCGAGTCTACGGGGTCGCGTAAAGGTCAATCTTCAGTTCAATTCTCGGAGAAAAGAGATGGTCTCACGCGAAGCGCCATCTGTGTGTCACAAATTAGACCGATGTAAACCAGAAACAATCGATACTCACCCAATACATCCCTGAACGCCGCCACCTTCGCGAATAATGGGGATCAGAGATTGGAAAACGCATAAGATTACACGTACTGAAGGACAAGCTGGAATTAAATGAGTATAAACAGAAGGGAGACAACGATAACACGTACATGTTTGCATACATTCCCACGTTGTACTGAAAGTTCAACTTCCTGTCTTGGTTCAAGAAGCGTGACGGGTTCCAGGTATCAGCGTCTTCTCCCCATACATGTTTCAATCTATGTAAACGGGGAAGCTTGAATATAGTGAATCTAATAGGAAGGGCTCTGGCTTACCGTTGGTAGGAACCGAAATCCAGCATGACTCTTTGTCCCTTTTGTACTGGAATGTGAGTGATTGTCTTACCCGTGGTTGGCGATACAACTGGGATAGCTAACGGGATAATATCGCCAGTTGTGGCTTCTCGTGCGAGAGTAGGTAAAGCAGGGTGATAGCGTAAGTTTTCCTTTTTTTTCTTTCGTCAGCTAACATCCCCCATGAAGGAACTCACGTCACACACCTTGAGACAAGCAGTGAGATATGTCATTTCTTCATAGTCTTCGGCCCTAAGTGGGGCATCAGCGCCATTCTTGGAGCGAAAATCCTGGATCTCTTGATATATGCGTTCTTGATCTTCTGGATGTCTAGCCAATTCGTGAAAGAGCCATGCCATAAAGGCACCTGTAACGCTGTGTCCTGCTTGAATAATAGCTCTGCGCAAAGTTGTTAATGGCTTGTTTAAGTAGGAGTGGCGTGCGTACACAGTTTGGGATATTACCTCCTCATCCGACATACGCTTCTTTGCTTCAGTGGCATTATTGCACTGTACTACGTTCTTGGTTTAGCATACGTTTCGCTGAGGATGGAGATAAGACGAACCTAAAACGCTTAGAATATCCCTGCGTCTATCCAATTCGCATCCTTTGGCTTCTTGTTTCGCCTTCGCTAGTATGTCTCTTGCAGCAATTCGTCGTATAGACCCTCCAGTGCGAGTAACAATGGCGTCATTCGAAGGTTTGATATTAGAGAGCCAAGCCATTAGCTCGATAGGGATGTATCTCTGGATAGCGCGTATGAGAAGTGTCTTGGAGCTAGTATCTCCGAATCGGCGACTTCCTAATGTGAGAAGGCGTGGAGATAGACGGCGGGGAGAGACGTACACAAGCTGCTTATTAGCTCTGAATAAATCATCCGTATGTCCTTCCAATGCGCCGAATTCATGGCCAAACGTCGCTGAATGTCCAAGTCGTTCAGTTATCTTTTTCGTGAGCGTGTTGCTTTGTTACATACCTTCCCCTATAGCATCAAGAGCCAATTGTGAAGCCCAAAGAGAAAGATTAAGGCGATCAGCCCCCTGTGCCACCCGTTCGGCCAATTTGTCTAGAGCCTAGAAATTCCATGGTATGGGGTTCTATCTCCTGGATAATAAGACGTACATTGTTGGTACAACGCTGGAAAACCAGGAGAAATTCTTTGAGCTGAGTGACAGAGAATGCCGGGTTCAAAATTCTTCGCTGTCGTACGTGCGATTCCCCTGCGCAATAATCAGCCAAATACTCCTACAGCATAAAGGGAATATACCGACCTTCCGAGTAGAGAATTCCACGCCCAAAAGCAACGAGTGTCAAGAATCTTGCGTCATTCGGTTTTCGATATCTGTAACCGGAGGTGTGAAGAATATATTGAAGGGCGCGTGGGTCGGAGATCACCAGGATGTCTGACTAGCGTCATAGTTATCGTCAGAAGGAGGTTAAAATGACGAGGGATGGGAGATAATGCGCACCCATAGAAGACCCGAAATGTGATAAGCGGTTCCATATTTAGCGTGACATTGGAATAGGCTGTCTTTAGTGTCGGGCTTGCATCTATTGAACTCCGCTTCATATCCTGCAATCTATATCAATGTCGGAAAATGATTGAGACTTGAAGACTTCACACCGAGCAGCGATCGACAATGTCGAGGTCCGGGAATATCAATCGGTGACCGATACCTTTGGAATAGGTATATGACGATAAACGTCAAGATGAACCCGACGAGGGCAAATGGTTGGGAGATGTTATACAACTGAGTGACAGTCATGGGGAGAGAGCAAGAGAAGGAATGGCTGGTCCATCGCGTACGGGGAGTTTAAATGTCAATGTGAACCCCTTGATCCACGCTGTAACGCCTACGCTAGCTTCTCAACATTCATGCATTCCTTACCATCTCCGGGTTCCTATTACCCGTTTACCCGGACTATTGCTATATAAACAAGCTCATTATTTTACCTTCGTTAGTCTTATTTTGCCCAGTACTTGTACCTACGTTGTTATCAAACCTCGTTGTGTCCAGGTCTC